TCAATAGGCCCTGACAGTCCAGACAACAGAAATGGGAGGGGGAGGGGGTGCTTCTGGGAAGCACAGACAGCGGAGCCAAAAGGGTGACTCTCGGGGGAAGCTTAGGACGTAGGGCCACCCCCCACCATCCTTGGCGTCTCGCATTTCCCAAGAAAGAGGTTGACACATGGCCCAGGAAACTGCCTTCCTCCAGCGAGGCCAGCGCGGGCTGCAAGGCGGAGTCTAGGCGCAGAGAAGAGAGCGAAAAAAAAAAAAAAAAAGACTGTAGGCTACAGGTTTCCAAACAGGCTGTTTGGTTTCTAGTAAATTAGTGAGTGGGCGGTTGAGGTACCAAGTAATGTTATGCTGAGGAGTGTGGTCTTCTTTGACGTCACCAAAATGTTTCTCCGCTGACCGCCCCGCCGCCTTTCCCTTGCTTTTCCCTCCTTGGCCCGTTTGCACCCTAGTCTTTTTCCTCCCTCCTCCTTCCCTCTTCCTGTCACGGAGACAGATGACATAGGGAAGCTCTGGAAAATCGCTCAGAGTTGTGCAACGGAGCTCGCAGGCTCAGAAAATTCCCATATTTTCAAAAACAAAGGCCATGAGGTTGGAGGGGCGGCGGGGTGGGGAGGGGTATAGATATTCAGCCACTGTCTCAGCCGGCCAAAAATCCATGTGACTCAGGCCAGGAGGGGGAAGGCTGCTAAAAAAACCAGCAGCCGCCACCACTGGCTGTCCGTTCCTCCCATCCTCTCGCCTGATTAGCAGTTCTGTCTGAGAGAACATTCTTCCTGTGGCAAAGAACACATTCTTGCCTCCAGTCGGCCTGAAATAGAATCCTGGAGAGCATGCGCCCGCCGCCCTGCTGCTGCATCCGGGGAAGGGGGGAGGCACCCCTCTGCTGTGCATTGATTTCTCCAGCACCCCCGCCCCCCGCGCCTCTCCCCACACAGTTGTTTTTCCTATCCTCACGCAAGGGAGCAACAGCTGCCCCCATGTTGACATAGAACGATCTCGAATGAGCGTTCCTCGGGTACATACGTAAGCATTTGTAGCCTGACCCTGCTATCTTTTTATTTCCCCTTTAAGTTGATTTTGGGGCCCAGTTGTTTCAACAAGGACCGCTGTGGTCACTCCACGGCAGCGTCCCGCCCACAGTCACATGATGAGTGTTGGTGGGGCCCGCAATTCTCTGTGTGGCTAGTAATTGTCATGTAGCTCAGCGAGACTGCTTGGTTTCTACTACACTGTAAATCAACTATACTTCCATTTTAAAAACATAAAATGAAAAAAATAAATAAATGCTGATTCTGATGCAAAAAAAAAGACTACTTAGTTTCTAAAGTAACCTGACTCGTATTCTTTATCAGGCAGCTCTTGAAAAGCAGACGTTAGGTTCCAGGCAGGGTAGGCACACGTGGGCCTGGTTTTTTCCATCCGTCTGGTGGCTCCTCCCTCATCCCTTCTCTGATCTAGACAGCGAGAGCCTCAGAGGACCTTGGAACAGGGAGTGCTTTCTAAATCAGAGCCTCCAGATGCTCTTTGCAGGCCCTGAGTTCCTCTGAAAAATCTACTGGCATTGAAAAAATATACTCACGCAATAATGGAGGTCACATGCATCTATTCAGAAATTAGACGTGGAACCAGAAAGACTAAAGAATTCATCGTATGTATTTGCAGAGGGTGGGGTGGTGCAAGGGAGGTCCTAAGTGGGTTGGGTGACACCTCTCCAGCAAGGGTAGGGACCACGATCTCTTTAGCATAAGTGTTGGCAGGACCAGTGAATGAGCAAGGGGATGAACCTGAGAAATGAACCTGGAACACAAAAGAGCCCAACATTTCTGGGAGGTAAGGCGGACGGGCTGGGGCATATCTGCCAGAAAGAACCATTTGGTTTGAAGGAGAACAGACTTCCCAAGTGTAAACACAGGGATTTCCCTGGCCCTCCAGTGGTTAAGACTCCACCCTTCCAATACAGTGGGCACAGGTTCGATACCTGGTCAGGGAACTAAGATCCCACATGCCACACAGCACGGCCAAAAAAATTTTTTAATAGTCTTTTAAAAAGCGTAAACACAAAAGGGAGTCTGACATAACGACAAGTAACATTAGACGACTCATACTCAACACATCCCATGTACCAGATGTTGCAGCTGTCTTACCTGGCACCGCTGGCTTAGTCTTTGTGGCACCCTCCAGAGATGCAAACCAGCTGGGGGATCTGTCAGCTCTTCGGGGCAACAAGGAAGAGATTCCTGGACCAGGAATCCAGTCAATACAGAGCAACCCGTGAGTATCTTTAAAGTCTATCCAACCTGCCTGCCTGGCCTTGCCTCCACTGTAGTTTCTGTCTGCACTGGCCATCACTGAGAGAGGATCCCTGCTCCCCTGCGGACTCACGGAGCAAAGACCCCTCAGAAAGGAATGAGATCTGATCTCCAGGCAGCCAAAGCCAGCCTCCCTGCCTCCACTCTACTGCTCCTTCCTTCTCTCAGAAACACCAGACCTTCCACAGATGTGTCTGAGACTTACTGATGCTTCCTCCAGGAACACTCCTTCAACTCCCCTTCCTCAAGGCCCTGACCTTGTTGGGTGACCTCTGGGCCCCAAGGGAAGCACCCTCCCACCTCCTGGGAGCTTTAGGGACCCAGGTAAGGAGAAGTGATGGCAAGGGCCCTCTCCTCGGGGGCCTCCGGAGACCTTTCACCTTTGAGAGAGGAACAGGAAACAGGTTTCATCCAGTTGAAGTGATCATGCCTAGAAGTTCTTGTTTATGACTTAGAAACAGGCTCTCCATTCAAGTCATCTCAAGGATCCTTTACCTCACATTTCTGCTCAGAAAACACACCTTCTTCATTTGGGGCCGCTTCAGAGGAAGTCTCCTTTGTTCACGGTCTGTACATTGCCCTGCTGATCTCTTCTCTTTTCTTCCAAACGTGCCGTATAGTCCTGATACCAGAGAGACAGCCCTGCAAACATGTGTGCTCGGTGGCTTCAGGCGTGTCCGACTCTTGGCGACCTCGTGGACCGTAGTCCGCCAGGCTCCTCTGTCCATGGGATTCTCCAGGCAAGAATGCTGGAGTGGGTTGCCATGCCCTCTTCCAGAAAGCAGCCCTGAGAGGGCATAATTTGAAATCTCATCATTTCAGGTAAAATGTTTCCCTGAGCGAGGGGGATTGGAGGAGGAACTTGAACCATCTGTTTCCTTCTGGTCACCAAGACAAGCAAGGTGACTGTCACTCTGAGTTTCCGTCTCCTCCAGCATCCTAGAACCCACCACCACCCACCCCGAGCCGAAGGCTAGGATGCCTGTCACCCACCCATTGACATTCCATTAAAAATTGGGACTAACAACAGGTTCCAGAACACTGCGTCATAACTCAGCAGGTGTGGGATCTACCTGGCCTACTCAGCCACTGGCAGGTGGTTAAGCAAGGGCTTTGCAAAGCTACTTGGCTAACGGCACACAGACCGATCTGTGCTTATGTCATGGGGCAAAGATGAAGCAGGTGCCCTGTGCCTCCTGACACAGCAAGTCGCCAGCCTCTGCTAAATACACACACCCACACACATAAACACTCACATAAACACACACTCATGACCTCCAGTGTCCCTGAAAAGATGGCACATCTCAGGATCAGGGCAGGCTCCCCACAGCCAGACATGCATTCGTGCGTGCTACGTTGTTTCAGTCATGTCCGGCTCTTTGTGACCCGATGCACCAAGAACCTGCCGTGCTCCTCTGTCCTTGGGATTCTCTAGGCAAGAATACTGGAGTGGGTTGCTGTGCCCTCTGCCAGGGGATCTTCCCGACCTAGGGATTGAACCTATGTCTCTTATGTCTCCTGTGTTAGCAGGCAGGCTCTTTACCACTAGCTCCACCTGGGAATCCCCACAGCCAGAGATGCCTGGCTCCAATTCCAGCTAGCTGTACTCACTCCTGAGCCTCGAGCTCCTCTTCTATAAAGTGAAGCTAGTAATACCTCCTTGAGCGGCTGACCCAATGCATATAAAACTTCAGACTCGGAGTAAGGCTTCATAACTCGAATCCAGAACAATCCCAAATTGTCAGCAGCCGCAGTTTCCACCTTGGCTTGGTGCTAAAGACAATAACATAGCCACTGTGGACAAAGCAGTTTTTATGAACCAGGTGTGTCCCATGCATTATCTCATCTCGACTCACACTAGGCCTCCAAGTTGGGTAGGTGTTAGGATCCTCATTTTACAAATAAGGATTCTGAGGCTCAGAGAAGTTAAGATGCTTGCCCAAAGTCGCACAGTCAGCGGTAAAGAAATATCTTAACATCGAGGCAATCCGTGCTTCAGTGCCAGCCCCGAAGCATGCTCCCTTCACAGGGCTGTGCTGCCTCTTGATGCAGTTAGCTCAAACTGAGCTCTGCTCTCTTTACAAGGCGACACAGAGGAAGTGCCAGGTGATTATGCAGGGGGGGTGCAGCCTTGCACGTGTGTGTGTGCATGCACGTGCCCTTGGCCAAGGGCCACACTTTTAGCCCGCATACTGGTCTGCCAAAAAAAAAGCCCATGTTCAAATCCCACCTATTGAAAAGCTCATCTCCACTTTGGCAGGACAGGCCCTGAAAAAGATGTAGGAAATAAACAAGGGCCATTCAAAAGAACTGAACTTCATTCAAGTGGGAAATTCCTTCACAGGAACAAAACTTCAGAAACCAAACAAGCAAAGCCCTCAGAAAACGTCAGTAATGATCCATTAATTCTAAGCCATTAGAAAGGGAGAGCAAGAGGTAAACCCAGATTCTGCATGGGCATCCTCGCCCCTTCTCTGAGGGCAGTGCTCACAAGCCTGGAAGGGTTGGCTTGAATAGAGAGGTCACCCCTCGGGGAGCCAGTGGGTGAAATACACTGGAAATGTGCCTGAGGGACAAGCATGTTTTAACACACAGGCTCAGAATGATGAAAAGCACCCTTCTGGGGACTTCCCTCCCGGTCCAGTGGTTGAGACGCTCCGCTTCCAGTAGAGGGGCACAGGTTCGATCCCTGGTGGGGGAGCTAAGATCCCACATGGCCTCAAGCTGAGCCAAAATACTTTTTTAAATAAATAAATTTTATTTTTTTTAACGCACTCTTCTGCTCTTTATCCCTCCACACCTGCTTCTGTTTCTCAAATATGGAGACTGCTTCTGAGCTTTTCCTTCTTGGCAATGCCACACTTGTTAAGAAACCAGTATCTTGGAATCCAAAGTGGCCTTGGATGTTGTTCTCTGCGGTGGCAGACCAAACTTTCCTGGCTGAATCAGACCCCATAATATATCAACTCTGAGTCACACATCAGCAGAGGAGTCACTATTAGGAAGAGAGAGAGTGCAGTGATATTTATCAGTGACTAAATCAGAGCAAATAACGAGTGTTGCCTAATCACGGGGCATATTCATATACATTACCTTCCTACGAAGCAAGGTCGTTGCTTCCTAGCTCTCAGGATGGTTTCTGACTGTCAATATTTACAGAATCAGGCACTTAACAACACACGCCAGGCGAGCTGGATGTCTCCAAGGGTGAGTCATGCCAAATGAAGTCTTCTATCTTGGGGTCACTGCTCCATCCTCACTGACTAGTCATGGGATTATTGAAAAGCACATGCAGGATTGCGGGCCCTGTTCAGTTCTCTGGAAGAACCAACATTTATGAAATTGAAGCCTGGGAGGAGAGGGTGTGGGTTTAAAAGCGTATTCTGTGCTCAGTCGCTCAGTCATGTCTGACTCTTTGAGACCCCATGGACCATAGCCCGCCAGGCTCCTCTGTGCACAGGATTCTCCAGGCAAGAGTACTGGAGTGGGTTGCCATGCCCTCCTCCGGGGGATCTTCCCGACCTAGAGATCTAACCTGCATCTCCTGCTCTGTAGGCAGATTCTTTACCACTGAGCCACTGGGGAAGCCCTAAAAACGTAAAGGACTTTTTTTTTTTTTAATCTGCTAGCTAATAAATATAGCTCTGGGTCTAGGGGGAAGTGGCAGAGAGATGTCACCAAGACCCGAGTCAGCCTCCGCGTGCAGCAAGATATGTGATAAATAGCCTGAGTGCTGTCAAAGGTGTGGCTGAAAAGTCACCTGCATCGTGCGAGACACACGCCAAGGAAGGTGGTGCCACTTGGCTTGGAGGGAGACTGGCCACAGGCATGGATATTTGGGGGTTTTTAAGGTTATTTATTTATTCATCTTTGTTGCTGTGTGCAGGCTTTCCCTAGTTGCGATGAGCAAGGCTACTGTTCGTCCTCATTGCGGTAGTTCTCCTGGTGCAGGGCACAGACTCTAGAGCACCAGCTCAGTAGCTGTCAGTAGCTGTGGTTGCCCTGCAGCCTGTGGGACCCTTCCAGCCCAGGGATCAAACCCAGGTCCCCTGCACCTTAACCACTGGGCCACGAGGCCCCAGCTTGGATATTTGAATAAGCAAAGTACACCTGTGTGCACAACCAGTCCAGGTAGAAACCCTTGGCTCCATTCAAGCAATGGAAAATCATTTCTTTGGGTTTTGAAAGCTTAGATGTTCATGAATCACTCATTTAAAATGCCCCCTGGTGGTCCAGTGGTTAAGACTTCGCCTTCCAATGCAGAGGGTGAGGGTTCAGTTTCCTGATCAGGGAGCTAAGATCCTACATACCTCTCAGCCAAAAATAAATAAATAAATAAACCATAAAAGAGAAACAATGTTGTAACAACAATAAAGACTTTTAAAAAGACATCAAAAGAATCTAAAATGCAGATAACCTCTGGAGTTGCCTCTTGATAAAACCTAAGCTTTATCAAGTAGGGGGATTATGCTTGGTGAGAAGCAGGAAGCAAGGAAAAGAGGGCAAGGATGGAGGGCAAGCCAAGGAAGGAGGGCATTGCAGGAGGAAGTAGGGTGGGGAGAGCCCAGCACATGCAGGACATGACTATTCTGGAAGATGTTCATTTGTCTGTATGCAGAAAAGAAAAGCAGCTTTAACCTAAATGTCCATCGACAGAGGAGTGGATAAAGACGCGGTACATGTATACAATGCAATATTACCCAGCCATAAAAAGAATGATATAATGCCATTTGCAGCAACATGGATGGACCTAAAGAGTGTCATACTGAGTCATACTAAGGCAGACAGAGAAGGAGAAATATTGTATGGAATCCCTTATTTGTGGAATCTAAAAAGAAATGATACAAATGGACTTAAAAAACAGACCCACAGACTTAGAAAACAAACTTCTGGTTGCCGGCAGGGAAGGGATAGTTAAGGAGTTTGGGAAGGTCATATACACACTGCTGTATTCCAAATGAATAACCAACAAGGACATACTGTATAGCACATGGAACTCTACTCAATGTTATGTGCCAGCCTGGATGGGAAGGGGTTGGGGGAGAATGGATACCTGTACATGTGTGGCTGAGTCCCTCTGCTGTTCATCGGAGGCTGCCACAACATTGTTAATCAGCTCTACCCCAATACAGAATAAAAAGTTTAAAAGTTTGAAAAAAAAAGAAAGGAAGCTTCTTTCACATCAATGTTAAATGAAGAAATTGGCACCACACTTCAGAAACGCCACGATCAGTACAAGTGAGCGTGTTGCCAATCTCACCCCCAACATGCACACAGAAGCTGATTGCAACCACAGGGGCGGTGACATCTCTGCCAAAGTCCACTGGGGACCCAGCACTACGCAACATGGGACAGGTTGGCCAACACTGAGCTCCTGGAATCCCAGTTTCCTTTAAAATCGATGAGCTGAGCTAGGATTGCAAAAGAGACCCACGAGGGGACAGGGCAGGATTATCACTGAGTTGTGCGGTGCAAAATGTCTTTGACTGAAAAGTGGTGGACACCATGGAAGAACCAGAAGTATCAGGACTTATATCTCAGGCACATTTGCAAATGGACTTACTTTCTTAATAGGCTAGGTCTGAAGGCTCAGAGATGTTTCCAGAGATCACAAGACTATTGCATGATGACATGAGCTCCTGATTCCTGCAGACAAGGAGGTCACAGCCCCATGACCACTGGCCAGGGCCATAAACTGAAGGACATTTCTCCTGTAGCAGTTGCGTGGAGATACAATGTTGGCATCATCTTTAGTCAAAAAGTGCAACAGGGGATATACTTCATGATCCTGAGGAAGGTTCGATTGTGGCCCTTTCCAGCCACCATGCACCGTAAAACTGGGGCTGGCAAGCACCCTGGGGAAGGCCCTGCCAACTGAACGCTCACAGCGTGTCCGCACAGCTGTGGACCCTTTCCTGGGCCTTCCTCAGATGCACACACACATTCAGGCTGGCCATGTGCATATACTTACATGCACCAAATAAGGATGGTGGAGACAGAGGTAGCCAGAAAAAAAAAAAAATGCACTTCTGCAAATACACATGGAAAATACTTTTTGGATGAGTGCTTAAAGGGAGTTAACCCAGCAAAGATGACTTATTTACCTGCTTTATCCTTTGTGGCTTGGAATGAGGATATGATGGCTAGAGCTAAAGCAGCCATTTTGGACCAAGAGGTGTTCTTTGCAAAGGATGCCAAATTCTAAGAATAGAAAGAAAGGAACATGGAATACTGATGAATGTAGAACCACTAAAGCAGTCCTAGGCTATCTACTGCTAGACTTCTTTGATATGAGACTGAAGTAAACGTCCTTATTGTGTGAAAAACAAAGAGACAAAAGTGCTTCTGATTCTATATGAATTCTCCTACAGAGCTTCTGTAGGATGCCAGTCCTTTTGCTGGGGATCCCTCTGTTTCATTTCCCCCTGTGTTTCCTCTTTCTGTTGGAGGTAGAGGGAAGGAGAGGCATAGTAGAGAGGGTTTGGGAGGAGAAAATGTATAGAGAGGATGGGCCCCTAGCTGTTCCTGTTTCCCTGTATCTGTTTCTCTGCTTTGTCTCCAGACCTCCTGGAACACCTTGCCTGTGGTCCTGTGCTCAGTTGAAAGCTTGTACCAGTTTGCTGGGGCTGCCAGAACAAAGTACCACAGCCCGGTAGCTTAAACAGAAAACATGTACATCCTCCCAGGACTGGATGCTGGAAGCCCTCAATCAAGGAGTCAGCAAGGTTGGTTCCTTCCGGAGGCCATGAAGGAAGGATCTGTGCCAGGCCTCTCTCGTGGGCTTGTGGACGGCTGCATTCTGTGTCTTCACACCGTCTTTCCGCTGTGTGTGTCTGGGTCTTAATCTCTTCTTTAAAAAAAACATTATTTCTTTTTGGCTGTGTCAGGTCTTGGTTTCAGTGCCGGGGCTCCTCGGGGCTCCTCGGAGCTCTTCGGGGCCCTCCCTGGTTGTGGCACACGGGCTTCGTTGAACCGCAGCATGTGGGATCTCAGTCTCCCAATCAGGAACCAAACCTGCACCCCCTGCAGTGGAAGGCAGAGTCTTAATCACTAGACCGCCAGGTTGTGGTGGTGGGTCAGTCGCTCAGTCGTGTCCGACTCTTTGCGATCCCATGGACTGCAGCACGCCAGGCTTCCCCGTCCTTCACTGTCTCCCGGAGTTTACTCAAACTCGTGTCCGTCGAGTCAGTGATGCCATCCAACCACCAGGGGAGTCCTTTAACCTCTTCTTGTATACAGACACCAACCAGATTGAATCAGAGCCTCATTTTAAACTGCAAACGGCCTCATTTTAACTTAATCCCCTCTTTAAAGACCCTGCATCCAAATACAGCCACATTCTGAGGTCCCAGAAGTTAGGATTTCCACAAAAGTGAGGCCAGAAAGGAAGTTAGCAAATGCACAGAGCCGCTACCATGGGCTTGGAGCCGTGCCAGACAGCAGGGACCAAAGATAAGAAGATACAGTCTCATTGTGGCTAAATGACTAAATGACAGTCCTAGCGAGTGAGTCACTGGATGGATCAATGATGAATGAATGGGATGAACAAACATCAAAACTGCTGCTGGAGCCCAGAGGGCTGATTAGACATAACCATACCGAGTCCAGAGCCAGCAGCCCACTCCCACCTCCATCTACAAAGGGGTCTCAGAGATCATTAGAGAAGCAAAGTGGCAAGGGGGCTTCTATTCCCTATCCAGGGGAGTCTGACCAGCTCTTGGCTAAAACTAAACAGGATCAATGTGCTCAGAGATGCTTGCAGATGAAAACCAGACTTTTCTTCATGCTTAGCCTACCGCTCCGGGGGAGATCTGGGGAGACACTCCTGCTATAATTCCAGCGGCCCCAGGGCCACAAATCAGATGGAAAGCCCCCAGGAGCAGCATCTCAGGTTAGCCAGGGCAGGAAGGAGGACCACCTGCCCACCAGCTGCCATGCAGTGACAGGTGGAGTACCATCCCTGGGATGTTGACACCCGTGAAATGAGAGTGAAAGTCTCCACACCCTCAACTCCATCCCCTGCAAATGCTCTCTGAGCCCAGAACTGAGACCAGGAGCCAGGAGTTCAATGTAGAGGAACAGAAAGGCAAGACTCCTGTCCCAGTCATTATTCACACGTGCTTCTCCTGACTGCAAGCACCCCAGCCGCGTCACACAATTATTGTTATCTGCACTGTGGCTGTTTACTTAATCAGTCTTCAGAGAGATTTCTCAACAGGTCTTTTTGTGGCCTAGTGGAGGTCAGAGTTCCCAGGACCGTCAGTCAGAGCCTGCAGGGGGCAGGCCGGCTGTCCATCATCTGATCAAGGCCGCTGCAAGCAGCCCTTGAACCGGTTCCTGTGGCCTGTGTCTGTCGGGCTCCCCATGAACCCTGGTCATCAGTCAGTTCCTGAATTGCAGCACACAGACCCACACCCCAGCGGTCCTCCGCTGCTCGGATGAGTCCCTGTTATTGTGTTCCAGTACATTCTCCCTCTGGCCCCAATGCGATCGCCTCCGAGCGGCCTGTCCTTCAGTTTTTACTACCGAATCTGTGGCTCAGAAGCCTTGGGTTGGTATTTCCTCTGCCCTCGGAGGGATTTTTATGGGGTTTTTATTTGGTTTCATTTTTGCCATGCTTCTCAGAACGTTTCCTTTGTTCTTCTCACTCTGCTCTGAGCCTCCAAGGCTGTCCCCTCAGAAGATCACACACAGCTGTGGCCCCAAACATGTATCCCCCCCAGAAAAATGTGGTTGAGGAAACCCCCATCTTTTATGGATTTTCAAGCAGTAAAATGATGGTTTCTGAGGGCTCAGAAGGCACCTCCTCCCCTTGGCCAGGCCTCTCACTGCAGCCCCCACAAGCAGAGGCGAGGTGGCCCAGGACCCCAGCCTACAGTGCCCAGGGTTAGTGGACCTAATGTTTGTCTACCTAGGTCGGGCGCCCCTTTCTTTGAAAAATACTGCCACCCCTGAACTGATCATAGCAACCAAATGTGGGCAGCCTCCTGCTCAGAGATCCTCCCCCGGCCACAGAGATGGAACCGGGGACTATCATCTGACCCCAGCAAAGGCCATCAGGTGGAGCTTTTGAACTCTCGGTCCCTCTCTAGCAGTGAAGCTGGGAGGCATGATAAGCAGAAGCTGCTATCGTGTACGTTCCCAGCCATGTAGAGAAAGCTCATCAAAGAGATTGAAATCCATATTGGGGTGGAAGATGAGATCAAGATTGGGTAAGAGATGAGAGTGCCTGGCAGGGTCAGGTCCCATTGCAGGCATCGTTAGAGTCCCTTTTTGAAGCCCCGAGTGATCTGGGTCGCATTTCTCTTTCATATGGCTAATAATAGCTTTCCCATGAAACTCACCAGGGAGTGGACTCTGGCCATCCTGCCCAAGCAAGACCAGCTGTCCTCAGCTTTGGCCATGGGAACAGGAGAGGAAGGAGAGGAGAAGAAGGGACCATCATCCAAGGTTGTTTAGGACATTGAAATACAGAACCCCTGTTGCAACTCTGAGAGGATTTTTACGTCTTTATCAAGTCAGTATGTTCAGGATTGGACACTCTCAGGCTGAGGTCGTGATCTGGATAGTTAAAGTGTTTCTTAGAACAGGATTCAGTGATGGTGGTGATGGCGTGTAAGCAACACACAGAGGATGGAGGTGATTATGACTCTGCTCATGGGAAGGAGCAGCGGGGCCCCTGTGTATCACTGATGGACAGATGGACTCCATGAAAGCTAGTTCAACACATCTGACACCTGCCAAAGCCAAGCCCCTCAGAACCCAAATGTTCCTCCAAATATGACCCCCAAATCAAGGAAGCGCCCTAGATGGCCACAGACCCAGATAGGCTTCTGCTCCCCACCTCACTGGTCTCTCTCAGCGGGAAGCACAGGCAGGCCGCATTAGAAGGGCTTACCCAACGAGAAGGGAGGCGCAGAGTTCAGCCTAATCCCCTTACCATCCCAAAGGGTTGGGGGAAAGCCAGAAACCACAGGGGTCAGCGCCTCTGTTCTGACTCCAAAGATTCTAGCTAAGGTGGCCCAGGGCCGCTGGCACCACCCTAAAAAACGGATCCAATCCTGAGTCAGAGAGGAAGCCGACAGTCACTGAATCACCCGTCCACTTCCTTCTACCCACAGCCGCTGGGCCAAGGCCAGCAGCCGCTTCCGAGGGGCAGCTCAGTGACCAGTGCTCGGAAAAGCTGAGGCTCTGCAGAAGGGCTAGCGGGGCCGAACCATCAGGACCCACTTCCCCGAGGTGCCCCGCCCCCCGATTTTCCAAAGCAAAGCTTCGCGTCTTGTGACGGCCCCGTTCTGCCCTGTGCTGCCCTTGGCTGGGTTATTTTTCACTTCCCTGTTCAGAAGAGAGCCACACTTTCCAAATGCCATGAATCATCACCACGAAGCAACGGCCATCCAGCCAGGCAGGAAACCACGGAGGAGCAGACCTAGAAGGAACAGTAATCCTGCAGCTGACTCTGGCGCGGCTGGGCATCCTGAGGCCACCACGGCGACTAGGGGACGGAGCTGCCACTCCAGGGACTCATTCTCCTCCATCGTCTGCTGCGGCTGTCCTCCACTCTCTGACCCACCCCTGCACTGAGTTCCAGGCAGCATTTCTGACTTTGTTCTTATGGCTTTCTTGGTTGTATTGGCTAATGTGAAGCTGTCATCTTCCAGTCCTGGGAGGGAGGGAAATGGGCAGATCCATTCAAGACCCAGGGAGCTGGGACTTCCCTGGTGGTCCAGTAGTTAAGACTCCACCTTCCAGTACAGGGGACCCAGATTCGACCCCCGGGCCAGAAACTAGGATCCCACCTGCTACAGGGCAACTAAGCCTGCGTGCTGAGACTGACAAAGTCCTTATGCCGAAGCAAAGTGCCTGAGCAGCCAAACAAGTGGGGGAAGCTGAAATGGGGATGCAGCATAGAGTGGAATCACTAACAGAACACGGGAGTCGGCTCTCTGCCTGCAAGCAGTCTTGCAAGGATGTTACAAAGATCATCCCTGTCATCCAAGCCTCTTGATGACCAAAACCATGTGGCCTTCCAGATGCCATTCAGTAAGCACCTGAAAGTAGTCACCAGTGATCCTATGAATAAATCAATCAATGAAAGAGTATCATCCTCAAAGAGCATCAAACTGTCCTGTGCTGGGCAGCTGGCTCCTCTGAATAGT